CTGGTGTTGGACCTAAATTCCGACGTGCGATTGCAGGATTGCTTACCTTGGCGTCATCTAGGCTGTGCATTAATGGGACATTGTCGCAGCCAATTTGCCTGATCCGATCGGTTAGACAAGGTTGCCCAATCTCTCCTTACCTGTATGTCCTCTATGTGGAGGTGATGCACGCACTCGTGCGTGCAGACCCTTTGATTCCTGTTTTTTTGCTACCATCTGGACAATCTCTTAAAACGGAGGCTTTTGCGGACGATTCTGTGGCATTTACCCCTCTTTCTGATCAGGCTTTCTTCGCCCTTCATGCGACTATTGATCTGTTTTGTTAGGTTTCTCACGCAGCTGTCAATTGGTCGAAATCGCTTGTGCTTATACCACTTGCCGCCCCCCCTCCGGTCCATTGGGGGCTCCCGGTGGTTTTGCCGGCCCAGCAAGGACGCCTGCTGCGCCATATGATTTATTTTACTCCGCAATTGATGACTGATTCTGCTCATGCATGTTTGCTGTTGGGATTGTTGTTGTACTGTTGTTAGGGTGCCTTTTAGGTTTTGGTTCTCTAGTTCATCCTTCTGTACATAATCGGAGAACTGATCATATGTTCGGTCATTACATTGTACATACGTTGTGTTTTGCCTATTTGTGTTGACATGTGTGATTTCTCCTCGCTGGCTTTTAAGTCAGATTTGGCGAGAAGGTAAGTGGGTTAAAGGTGGGGTGAGCTCTACTCTACAAAGGAAGCGCAAAAAGGGAGGTGCTAACCTTCGAGGGAGTACAGGCAGACAAGGGGGAGTGTTCTAGTTTGGGGTTGGGAAAGATCCCAGTGGTGGCAGATTAGGGCACAGGTAGCTTGAGATAAATCAGTGGGGGAACTGATTACTCAAGGGAGTAAAGGAAGGCTTTCTCTTTGGCGGAAGGTCTTAGGTTCGATTCCTAGTGGGTTGATCTTGGGATTCTTGTATATTTTCAAGCGCAGAGCCTGTCAGACGCCCTTGCAGTGGCTTGGTTGAGGTCTGATAGGTGGCGGAAAGTCCTGGGTTGAGTTGAGTCTGGGTACACCGGGTCATGGATGTACTTCTAAAAAATACATACCATGCTGGGGTGGGGTGAAATGTCCCTTAAGGGGC